GATGCCTCAGACCCCTTCGGGTAGGGGATCCATGCCCCCCCCCAGCCCCCAGCTTAGTCTGTTCCCTTCATGTTTCCCAGCCAGAAACTGCCGCACTCCCAGCCCGATGTCTGTCTTCCCCTCCCTTCCTTTGTCTCTCCCCTGGGAAGAGCCCTGTTCTCTGCTCAGGCTGGGTCGAGGAGTCTGTGCTAATCCCCACGTGGGTGAGTCAGTGGGAATCACATCCCAGTGCAGGGGGACTGGGTTACAGAGCAGACCCCCCCCTGCGCCGCACAGCCCTACACCCGGACACAGGCCCAGGCCACTACTAACAAGCTACTGCAGATCCCGACCGAGATCCTGACGGTGCTGGATCGCGAGGTCTGTGACTGCCGACCAAAGCAATCAGGTGGGTCCCCGGACCCAGTGGAAGGCCTAGGGGTGGATTTAACCAGACAGGATGCTCAAGAAACTCCTCCCTCAAGACCCTCGGCTCCAGGCCCTACTAACGCCGGCCCCGCTGCTCACTGCTAGGCAGCAGCCAGGGGGCACAGTGGACCGGGAAGCCAGGGTCCAGGAGCAGAAAGCCTTACGCAGTCACACGAGGGCCTGGGGGCTGCGGGGCCCTGCACCAGGAGCTCTGAGAAGCCAGGGTGGCCTCCACCCCGCAGTGCCTGGGGGCCCAGGACCCGCCTGCCGGAAAGCTCTGGGCCCGGAGAGAAGCAAGGAACAGGTGCTCCGCCCCGGCACAGTATCGCTTGGGTAGGGAACCCGCTGACGCCAGCCAAGCGAGGGGGCTGCCGAGGCCACGTTCCACGCCCGGGGCACAGAGGCGCCCCAGTGCGGCAGGAGCGGTTCCGAGGGGCGGCTCCAAGCCAGATGACTCCTGGCCTCTGTGCAGGACCATCAGAAATGGGGTGCCTGCACCACCTGGGCTGGGCGAACTCTCCCACCAGCTGGGAGCAGCCCCTCACCCCCCCTTCCTGCTGGACCCAGAATAGACAGTGCCTGGTACCTAAGCTCTACACTCTTAGGAGTATTACGGTACAGTGCCTGGTACCTAAGCTCTACACTCTTAGGAGTATTACGGTACAGTGCCTGGTACCTAAGCTCTACACTCTTAGGAGTATTACGGTACAGTGCCTGGTACCTAAGCTCTACACTCTTAGGAGTATTACGGTACAGTGCCTGGTACCTAAGCTCTACACTCTTAGGAGTATTACGGTACAGTGCCTGGTACCTAAGCTCTACACTCTTAGGAGTATTACGGTACAGTGCCTGGTACCTAAGCTCTACACTCTTAGGAGTATTACGGTACAGTGCCTGGTACCTAAGCTCTACACTCTTAGGAGTATTACGGTACAGTGCCTGGTACCTAAGCTCTACACTCTTAGGAGTATTACGGTACAGTGCCTGGTACCTAAGCTCTACACTCTTAGGAGTATTACGGTACAGTGCCTGGTACCTAAGCTCTACACTCTTAGGAGTATTACGGTACAGTGCCTGGTACCTAAGCTCTACACTCTTAGGAGTATTACGGTACAGTGCCTGGTACCTAAGCTCTACACTCTTAGGAGTATTACGGTACAGTGCCTGGTACCTAAGCTCTACACTCTTAGGAGTATTACGGTACAGTGCCTGGTACCTAAGCTCTACACTCTTAGGAGTATTACGGTACAGTGCCTGGTACCTAAGCTCTACACTCTTAGGGGTATTACGGTACAGTGCCTGGTACCTAAGCTCTACACTCTTGGGGGTATTACGGTACAGTGCCTGGTACCTAAGCTCTACACTCTTGGGGGTATTACGGTACAGTGCCTGGTACCTAAGCTCTACACTCTTGGGGGTATTACGGTACAGTGCCTGGTACCTAAGCTCTACACTCTTAGGGGTATTACGGTACAGTGCCTGGTACCTAAGCTCTACACTCTTAGGGGTATTACGGTACAGTGCCTGGTACCTAAGCTCTACACTCTTAGGGGTATTACGGTACAGTGCCTGGTACCTAAGCTCTACACTCTTAGGGGTATTACGGTACAGTGCCTGGTACCTAAGCTCTACACTCTTAGGGGTATTACGGTACAGTGCCTGGTACCTAAGCTCTACACTCTTAGGAGTATTACGGTACAGTGCCTGGTACCTAAGCTCTACACTCTTGGGGGTATTACGGTACAGTGCCTGGTACCTAAGCTCTACACTCTTGGGGGTATTACGGTACAGTGCCTGGTACCTAAGCTCTACACTCTTGGGGGTATTACGGTACAGTGCCTGGTACCTAAGCTCTACACTCTTAGGAGTATTACGGTACAGTGCCTGGTACCTAAGCTCTACACTCTTAGGAGTATTACGGTACAGTGCCTGGTACCTAAGCTCTACACTCTTAGGAGTATTACGGTACAGTGCCTGGTACCTAAGCTCTACACTCTTAGGAGTATTACGGTACAGTGCCTGGTACCTAAGCTCTACACTCTTAGGAGTATTACGGTACAGTGCCTGGTACCTAAGCTCTACACTCTTAGGGGTATTACGGTACAGTGCCTGGTACCTAAGCTCTACACTCTTGGGGGTATTACGGTACAGTGCCTGGTACCTAAGCTCTACACTCTTGGGGGTATTACGGTACAGTGCCTGGTACCTTAGTGGCCTGGCTCAGGAGAGCCGGGGAGCGGGGGGGAATCAAAAGCCAGGGAGGCGGAAGGCGTGAGCCAGCCCAGAACGGCGCCTTGACTCATGGATCAGTCACGCCGTGCCGGGTTCCCAGGAGAGCAGCTGATTGGAGCTCATTGGTACCTAAGCTCTACACTCTTGGGGGTATTACGGTACAGTGCCTGGTACCTTAGTGGCCTGGCTCAGGAGAGCCGGGGAGCGGGGGGGAATCAAAAGCCAGGGAGGCGGAAGGCGTGAGCCAGCCCAGAACGGCGCCTTGACTCATGGATCAGTCACGCCGTGCCGGGTTCCCAGGAGAGCAGCTGATTGGAGCTCATACCACCGTCACTGGGCCCCAGACCGCCCAGGCCTCGGGACAGGCCGGATTTCCAGGCAGAGGCCTGAGGCAAACGCAGCATCACCACCGAGCTCCCGCCTGTACACGTACAGCAGGCGCCGACCCACTGCCCCCGAGTTCCCGAGCGACAGGCGATCGCACGGCTGCTCCCAGCTCCGCTCCGCTGGTGCGGGTCCTTCCGCACAAGGCCACCAGGGTACCTCTGGAACAGAGGAGAGGTGCCCGTAGGGCTGGGAGCGCTGGGAAACGGGCCTGCCCAGGGCTCCGGCCTGGCGGCACTGGCGCCCTCCCTGCAGCTCTTGGGGCCCACGCGGCTCAGCCTGAGCATTGTCCCATGGGCCCGTGGCTCGGGCAGGGCCGCCCCCCCGGGCACTACGGGCACCTCTCCTCTGTTCCAGGGGTACCCTGGTGGCCGCCCTCCCCATGGGAGCAGGGGGGATCCCTGGGGCAAGGAGCTGACCGGGCCCTGTCATGGCAGAGGGCATGGGAACAGGCGGGGCCAGGGAGCAGAGAGGGGCCCCTGGCTGGAGGAGCAAGCGGGGGCTGGGAATTCCCATCGACGACTCCAATAGCCCACGGGGGAGGCGCAGCGGGGAGCCCCAGCGGGAGCTGTTCTGGCCTCTATTCCCTGTGCCCCTGCATTGTGGAGACGGCGTTGGGGGGGTCCCGGGCTGGGGGGGAGTCCCCGGGGCCTGCACCCCCGTCCGCAGCAAGACGGGGCTCTCGGGCGGCAGGTAGGAGAGAAGGTGTGACGGCACGTTGGGGGTCCCCGTAGCACGGACTTGTTGGCACAGGAACCAGGAGCCGTCAGCACAGCCCAGCCTGGGGGGGCCCAGAGCCCTGCCCGGCCCCCTCGCCGGCCAGACTCCCCTCTCCCTGAGCCAGCCCAAAACTAACTCACCCCCCAGCCACTGGCCCCAGCCCCCCAGGCAGCCCCGCCCCCTGCGTTATCCCGCG